ATGTTTATGGCTAAATCCCCAAGAGGGTGAGGAAAAAAACAACCGAGAAGGGCCCATTTCTAAGGAAAACCCCGAAGCCCCGCCACCCTATAATGCCGCAACTCTGCGTTTAAAACTTTTTCACAAAATCGGGTAGTGGGCCGCGGAATTCCTACACCAGAGCACCGGAAATAGCACCAAATCACCTTTAACTCTCGCATTTACGGTCGACAGAAATTTATAAAATGACCTCCAAAGAGATGGAGAGTAGACTACGATTTTCTACCACAAAATTAGACCAGGAGAAATGTTTTATTACTAAAATTAAAATTCGATATTTTTACGAACTACTTACTTTACTTTATCAAGATGTAGTTAATTTTAGTCGCCATAAAAAAACTGTAACAGGTTGACTCCTTGTTGAAACCAAATTACTCTAAATCTGCGGCACAATGATCTACTTTCCATTCCTATACATCGTACGTCAATTTTTGAAAGGCCCTTTACTTATAATGCGGTCAAGTTATATAATTATTCTTTACCAGCTAACTAGAAAACCTTCAGTTTGCAGAGCTTCAAGAAGACAATCAAGTTGCACTTACTGAGCTCAGCACATTAAGTGATAAATTCGGGTTGCCGAATGATAGCTTGTTTATAATAGCTCCGTTCTAATGTTTCTATTCTTTCTATATGTTCATATTCTATATTTTCTCAGTTATCTCATCCATATTGTCATACTAATGTTTTGTGATGTCCGGTTGTCGTTCACTGGTAGAGTAGCCGTGGCTAAACTTCGCCATACATGTGATCATTTGCTGAATGGAGGCTTGATTATTAAGTATATCTTTATCAAGCCCGGCAAGCCGGCAACATCGGTTCCGGTGCTGTGGCTGTAGCTGTCGATGTCGCTTCCGATCACGGATAATCGATCGGACGCCGTCGCCGCGAACGACCAGCGAACTCGATTTCTCTAACTGGATTAGAGGACAAAGGGCGTGCTTCTGCACCCTCAACGGATTACGCCTTGTCGATAATGTCGAATTCATCGGAACTCGCAACATCGCTCGTCAGCAAATTCGATGGGAATAGAATGTGGAGGTGCCTCTTCAAATTTGGGTTGTTGTCCTCTTCCTGCTTATTGTGTCTATCATCATTAATCAGGTGCCTTTGCCCCGGCATTTCGGTAATATATCCCATTTACATATAATGGTTTGAATTCGTAAGATGAGAAGGCTCAAGGTTTGTCTTATCATATACTGAGCTGTGCGTTTATTCGAGCCGATGAATAAGAGGGAATCAGAGGTAATCCGATAGCATTTCGGTGTACGAGGCATCTGATAGACTTTTGCACTTAAATGTACGCTATGCCCTTTTTAAACAGGCGTTGTGTAACACCTTCAGTCAAATAATTCAAAATTTTGCACCACAGCTGTCCGAATGTAAGGGCGCATTTAGGAAGCTGTCTAGGGGAGGTGCAGTGGTGGAGTCACACCATCCATGTTCAGGAAGATGTTCGCCTGCGAAGTTGGGAGCTTCGGCAATTAAAAATTAAATTGAAGAGCGGGAGGGGGGATGCAAGGGTATAAGCATCGCTTATACTGAGAAGTGGGAAGTGGGATACGTCTTACAATTGAGGTCTAGTAATGCAATTTTCACACCAAGATACAGCAATATATATCATTTTTTGGGTATCTAAGGAAGGCCAGCACCGTCCTCCTCTCCCTCTAAGTCCGCCCTTGTACCCTATTGCGTGGGCGTGTGAAGGGGAACCCTACCTAGACTACTTTTTACTCTTTTTGCCAAACCCAAACCCCTGCAAAAGCATAATTTTCTTCTAGGGCTCTTCTTCTAGAGGGAGGTGGCGCCGAATGAGTTGGTTCCAGGAAAAAGCTCCCGTCAGGTTGTTTCTATCGATGCCTTTTTTTTGCATTATGCCCCACAATCAGTGATAGGCGTTTACGCGTATACATTAATTGTCTACGTCTTGATGTATACAATGCGTATACAATGTAAACATCGCGTATACAATGAATACAATTTGTACAATGATGAAGACAATGTATAGAATAGCATAAGTGAGGTTAGGTTTATTCGTAAACGTCAGAAAGTTGGTGAACAGTGAACCGACAACTTAAAAAATATGGTTGGATGTCCTAAGAACAAAGAAATTGATGAGCTAGGGTTTATTTTGTTTAAGAATGGAAAGACATATTCCGTAGAGTGTAGTATCTGCAAAAAGGTTGTCCAATTCCTGAGTGAAAATAGTCCTTTGGCTGACTTCACTTTTTTGTTTCCAGAAAGTATTTTGTTTTATTTTACTTGAGAAATGTTCCTAATTTATTTAAAACTGTACCTTTGTATAGGTATATAAATATATATTATATATTAATACCCTTCGTCATTATTTATAAACTGCTTTCACAGTCAAACCAATAATGCAATGTTGCAAAATTTGGAGCGAACCTGAAGTTTCAGTTCCACCTAAAGTCGAAGAACCATTAGGATCGATCCGGAATTGATCCTAAACAGATTCGACAGAAATGTGTATTTGGGCGTAGAAAACAGCAAGTTCCACTCTTCCTAGACAAGTGGTGCCCTCTTCTCCCTCTATCTGTCTTCCTCGTATACATGGAAATCTAAAGGGGAAAAGGACTTTGGCCAGCACTGTATGCAAGTAGTTGAACTATAATTTGCTAATGTATACAATGTATATAATATATACATACATTGTAATATATATATATAGGGTGACTTCGAAGTTGAGTCATTTATTTTAACAGTGAGTAGATCTGATCAAAAGAAATGTTTTTTTCCTTTACCATTTTTCTAGTAAAATTAAAGTAACAAAGTTATAGCCCTTTGGAAGTTTGAGTACCGCCCTGTCTCAATAATAATATCATGTACTCGTGTTTGGCAACAACGGATATAATCCACCTTATCGGTTCATCGCATCGGAAACAAAAAAGCGAAAGAATTTGGAACGATGTTTTTATTTCATTCAGTTCAGTTATACATACAGTCAGTGTCAGTCGCGTGTGAATAGTGTCTGTTGCGTGGCTCAAACGAAATAAAAAATGGCACATGTTTATGCGGATCGGTTTCCCAATCGAGTGCAACCAACCCCTCGTGCCTTTGTTAATGTAGTACAACGGGCTCGTGAATCAGGTGACTTAAGACCTCACAGGGCACCTCACAATCAAATGCAGGTCCGCACTGAAATACTTGTCGGGAGGATACTTTATAAAACAAGGTAAACATTTTTTTTTATTTTTTTTTATTTTTACACACATATTTTGGTTTATCTTCCTTCTACAATCATTATCTGAAAATTAATGACTCAACTTCAAAGTCACCCTGTATATACATTGTATACGTGAATATTGAGACGTATATATTCACCATTGTATACGCGTATACATGATGTATACAATGCGCCTATCACTGCCCACAATATGTGAATAAGCATCGCACAACGTTATATACGGTGGGTTATTATAGTCAAGGCAAACATATCATATGTATGCTGCTCTCTAAATTGCAAATTCGCTGGGCCGTGATCATCGCCTAGCGTCAGGGCAAATTAATATTTGTACCCTAGCCTCACGATACTCCATGTTGTGGCATATATAAAAAGAATGACAAAATAAGGAGAAAATTGGATTACAATTTTACATTGTGGTGAACCTTCTGAGAGAGTTATGGGCCCAAACACACCAAGCTAGAGCCACTTTAAGTAAGCGAGCCATGTGTAGTAGATTTTCCAGCTTTAGATATTTGCAACGAGATTTGCGCTCCTTTTTTATCGGATTCACCGTGGTTTTGCAGTTAATAGACGCGATCGCATCTGTCATCGAAAAATCAACACCACTTTTTAGGTAGACTAACTTGGTAGCTTTTGTCCCAATTCCCAAAAGCTCAACTATTATTGGGAACAATTTTATAAAGTTGTGAACATAAAAAATGGAAAAGTGGAGGAACACAATGTGGTAAATTGGAACTTTCATACACTTACGAGTATTTCACTGCATACTGTATAGTCTAATCATATTAGACAGACATACCCCTGGCCTGCAAAATAATTGTAAAGTTTGGTTTTATTGATGCAAGTTGTTGAAGGGGGTATTTACAACAAGGACGCATGAAATGGGTACACCAGTTTGTGTGGGAAAAGTCTTTATTCGACAACAAATAATGAGAAAACATGTTTTTTGGGATTCAATCGAAAGTGTTGGCAGGGATGACTAAACTGTGCAAACGAGATTTTTACGTATTTATGAGTCCTACAGAATGAGACCACACGTAATAAGATCCCACTAATAGCAAAAAAGTTATGGGCGAAAGCCGGAGCAAAATGCAGATTTTAGCATTTCTTGCTAATGCAACGATAATTTCACGCGGCTACTTGAAATTCTTTAAATCCGAAGGCTTCTAACTTCTAAATAACCACAACAAAATTGGAGTCGATTGATCAGGTAGTTTTTGAGAATGTTCAATTGTTTATCCCAAAACACCTGTCTTCCAACCATCAGCGCTAGTTTATTGAGCAATATACAGGGTTCGTTGAAAACGCATTTAATAGCAAAATACACGACCTCACCTCGCCGACATGAATTACAAGCCATTCGAAAGATAATTGTTAGTTGTATGCAAAAAACGAAGGGTTCCATTTTTTCTTCTAAACAAATTCATTACGCGGACCATGAGACGCCCTAGCGATATCGACGCTAAGGCAATCAGGGTAGCGCAATCGCGCATCAAAAGGCGTACAGCTTGCGGCATCATCGAGAAAGATCGGCCGGCGTCGGGAACGTTAGAAAAGTTTTGACCGCGATCGTATAGAACTTCGAAAATGCGCGGGAATGCTCCGAAATTCGTCAATTTCAAATAAATACTCAGGTGCCGCCACCAGAGGGGTAGTCGAGCGGACTGACAGTCAACAACAGGGCATGCGATAGTCCAGTCGACATGGTTATAAATTTGTTATAAAAGGCGATTGAGTAAATGCTCTTTTGTTATTTCAGATGTCAAGCTGGTACAGGAAGGTGTATCGTGGACAAGGCCCATAGAAATCAATGCCAGGCATGTCGTCTAAAAAAATGCTTAGCGATGGGTATGAACAAGGATGGTAAGTCATTTTACTTAAGTCATATTTCAAAAACTGTTTTAATTCCATAGCCACCTGTTTGATACAATTAAATAGAGGACACAGTTGACAGCAATAACACTCTACTAAAACTGACGTGCCGTTACTAGATCAAATGTTGATAACTCTACCTTTAGAATTGTTCCTTCAGCCCTATACAGAAATGTTTGAGAAAGCGGTAAAGATATCGAGTTCAGATCTTACAATATTGTCAACGCCACTGACCTTTTCGGAGAAAAAAGTGCAATTTACAAATTCTATTTAATTTCACATGAATTTTTGGGGTAAAATCATAAAGTATTCGTGTGAAAAAAGAATCCCCATTCTGAAAATACCGTGAAGCTTGAAACTGGATACACTATATGGCATGTGATGAAAGCTATGGCACCTCAATATAAAATTAATTGAATAATATGCGTGTTTTATCCTCCATCAGTAGCGTAGACGCTTACCATTCATCAAACCTTTCCTGTCACTGGTTTTGCCGGTATATTCGTTTCTGTTTATGGATAAGGAAAGTTCAAAACAAAGAAAACGTTTATTTCAAAAATAAACGAATAAAGCTAATAAGAATTAAGCACGACAACAATAAACATTAAATTTGATACAACTTACGTGGTTATTCCTAAATTTATGGACATAACATTGGGAAAAAGAAGTAATGCCGAATAAATGCCATGGAAATGGAAATGTCCACCTCTGGATTCAACACAAGCTGGTGGTCTACGCCACACTCTCTGACTCCAAAACGATTGCGCTGGCCAAAATTCCTTGTAAGACAAAATTTATGGAAAACGGAATGGTATTTTATAAAATGCACTTTTTCCTCCGAAAAGGCCAGTGGCGTAGCAAAATATTTCCTATCAGGGGTCCAGGTAGCCCACTTTCTACGTCCCTGGCTTAGTTTGGGCCGGGGAACTCTGTGTGTTTATTACTGGTGATATGCTCACCGAACGTCTAAAATCCTAGCTCAGTATATTTACCCGCTCGCCAGATATATTTTTCTAATTTCGTAAATAAAGCTTCATCATCCTGGATCTCGGTACGGAAGCATCTTTCGACTCATATTTATATGAACTTTTTTGTTATTTTTGGATGTACGTACTTTCTTTTCTAGCAATATTGACCCGTCTTTCAGGAACACCCTTATAATAATTATTCAAAAAAGGAATACACAAATCTCAAAACAACCAATTCATGGTTTTGGATTTGTGTCTGGTTATTGAAAATATTATAAACATTCAAACAAATCGATTTACTGTAAGATGCATAAAGGATGATTTCAAATGATTTTCAAATAATTATAGAAAACGCGTCATATCAATCGGACTGATAATACCTAAGTTCGCCCCTGTACATGTGCATCTTGCTCCGCCGTGCCACGTCTCAACCCTGCGAAATGTGCGCAAAGGGGCAAAGTTGGAAAATTGGGAGGTCCTGGGAAAAGTGAGGATACGAGCAACTCCCGAAGTTGCTGCCTGCATACCGGATGAGATTTAAGAACACTAACAGCGTCTCTTTTTCCTCTGATAGATCGTTGGACGAATTCGAATTTAGGTATATTAAGCTGTGGCTGAAAATTACGTCGTATCTCAATATTTCTCACGTCAAAACGTTGCTTTAGCACTAGTGGATAGACGCAGAAAAGATATGTGTGGATCAATTAGTGTTAGATGACGGAGGACCTCAATAACTATCGATTGAACCCTTATCAAATTTCTGGCGTCCCTGCCATAAAATATTATTTTAGTTTCTAGAGCTACAGAATAATTACATTTGATGCACAGAAAGTACAAAAACTAGACAAAGACCATGGAGACCAAATTAGATGTGTAAATGTGTAAACTAGCTTATATCAGTACCCCGAGGTATATAATAAAATATCTTATGTTTCCAAGCAAAAAAGCGGAAATTCAATAACGCGTTTGCAAAATTCAGGACGATATATAACATTTTTTCTAAGTAAAAATTACGTGTGAAGCGTCTTAATGTTCAGATACCTCCAATCAGGATGCAACGTACAATTCTCTTGTATGGCGAACTTTTTCAACTACGCCAGTGCCATATTTCATTTTTAGTTACACCAGTTTCAGTATTGTTGCCCGAGGATTTTGACACAAAAATAGGTACGGAAATAGCTGAATAGGTCAAGGAGAGCCTGACCTATGGTCAGCTGGAACTCCAGACTCTCTAAATTAATCGCTATAGAGTCGTCCAGAGGTTTCACTTTGCAGGTTTCCTTCAACGAATTCGAATAGATTAAGAGCCAAACCTACATGTTTGCATTGCATTGTATATCGTCAAAATCGCTTAGTTTTAATATTTGGCTACTACTAAGCTGAAAGACCAATACATTGGCGTACATTCTTTTCTCTGGAAAATATATTCAAGCAGCTATTCGTACTATATTCACAAATTTCAAAATTAAAAGTGCATCTGTTCTTCGCACTCATGTTTCCGATCACACTACTCAGAAAATCAATTTCTTTGCAGTCCCAGTTACAACGTCAAATTACATGCATAAAAGATTTTTTTCAGAAGCTAACAAACATTACTTTCTTGAATCTATAAAAAATGAGGATTGGATTGAGCTGGTGCAGGATATTGGAAATGTAAACGAGCAATGGATTGTATTCATGAACAACTTCATAGGTATTTTTAATCACTGTTTTCCTTTGAAACGATTTAGTGAGAAGAGCGGTGAGAGGAAACATGAGTGTAATGAAGAAATTACAGAGTGCAAAAATAGACTGGATATTCTGTTGACCCTATGTAGAGTAGATGGTGATTATAAGGAAATGTATAAGAACACAAAAAAAGAATATGACTATTTGTTGCTGAAGGCCAAATCAGAAAGATACGATCAGAAAATCAGAAATTCGGACAATAAAAGTAAATCTATGTCAGGTCAAAATAATCATAAAGACATTCATATCAAAGGTGATCCAAATCTGATTCCACAGCAGTACAATGAATATTTGTTATCAGCAATTCCGCTTTTACTGAAAGATGAGACACAGTTACCTTTTGACTGCAATTTAAAAGAAAACGACCAATCATTATTTATTTATTTATTTATTTATACATTATTGCCCAATAGAACTATTCCAATTAAAGGACAATATCATGGTAACTTTACTTATAATTCATACATGTAATGTATACCTAAAACTAATTTAAAAAATAGAACTAGCTATTATAATAGTACCTGAAATTCGACATGATCTTACTAATACAATCAAAATTAATGTCAGAACTATCTGCTATGAAATTATAATTCTTGCATATAGAATGTAGTGGAGAATAAAATAATACATTTCTACGGGAGGTACTGCAGTAGAAAGTTAGAGTTCTTCTCGTATTCAACCGTGGAATATAGAAATTTAACCTCTGGAGAGGTTCTGGTACATCCACTCTGTCGTGCAAAAGCTTGTGAAGGAATGATAGGCCAGCAGTGGAACGTCTTAACTGTAGAGACTCTAGTTCAAAACGACGCAGCAGAACAAATTGAGAGACCCCCCTTTCTGGATATGTGCCATCGATTTTATAAACACAGAATTTAAGAAATTTCCTCTGCACATTTTCTAAGATGCTTATATGATACGCATAGAAAGGGTTCCATATCAAACAGGCATACTCAAGTTTTGGTCGCACCAGTGAAATAAAAAGAGCTTTTAGTGCCGCTTCGTTGGAAAAAGTTCGGCAGTTGCGCATTATGAAACCCAGAATCCGTGTCGCTTCGGAAGTGACGCGTGCTACATGGACAGAAAAGTCCAATCTACAGCAAAATGTTACACCAAGATCTTTAGTCTCTGTTGTTCTCTCCAAAATCGCATTATTCATGGAGTAATCAAACAATAAGACCAATGACTGTTGATGAAGTGTGTGAACTGTCGAGGAGGATAAAAAGTAAATTCAGCTGTGGTATAGATGAAGTTCCAACAACAATGGTAAAACTTTCCATTCCAGTTTAAAACATGTTTTGTGCTTACTTATTAATAATGCTTTTAGACAAGGATCATTCCCAGAGAATTTGAAAATTGCTGTTATCAAACCAATTTTTAAAAAAGGTAATCCAGAGCAATTAGAAAATTATAGGCCAATCAATATTTTAACGGGTTTTTCAAAATTATTTGGGTTCTGCATCAGTAAGAGATTATTAGAATTTATGAATGACTGTAATTTATTTAATACACATGGGAGATCAACAGATACTGCAATCTTTCAATTTGTTCAAACATTACTTAAGCAATTAGAGGAGGGAAACTTAGCGGTTGGTTTCTACCTGGACTTGTCCAAGCTTATGATTGCATCAACAGAGACATATTGTTATTAAAGCTACAAAGATATGCTGTAAGAGGAACTGCGCTAGAATTGTTCAAGTCATAGCTCTATAATAGACAACAGAGGGTTGAAATTGTTAAAGAAGGTCAAACTTACAAGTCAAACATTGAGTTGACTTCAACCGGCATACCACAGAGTAGTATACTTGGGTCCATTATGTTTGTAGTTTTTTTTAAACGGTCTCTGTTTTGTTACTAGTGGTGACGAGAGCAGGCATACAATTACCTGCTATGCTGATGACACAAATTTGCTGTTGGGTGGGACAAGTGTAGAGGACCTAACTGCTAATGGGAATCTCTTATTCAGAAGTGTGAATACATGGTTTTCTGGGAACAAACTAGTGCTGAATAAATCTAAAACTGATGCAACATTATTTAGAACATAGCAGAGTAAAGTCGTTAAGCCAGAATGTATCGATATATACTAAGTGAAATATAAATCCGTACACCCAGTTTAAATGGTTTTATTTTAATAAAATTTTGTATAAGTACTTAATGAAGCATAATAAGTAAATGATAAAAATTTCAATGATTGCACTGCTTTAAAGCCCTTTGACCTTTAATAATGTGTGGATGCACCCTGATGTGCTACGAATTCTCCAACGCGCCTAGGCATGCTTCTGATCAGGTGGTCAATGT